GCGAGACAATACACCCCCCCTCCTGGCGACCAAATACGACCCACTCCTATTGGGGATTCCCCAACAACGATGTGCCTTGGTTTTAACTTGACTCAGGCGGCGAGAGGGAGGGGAGGGGTGTAAGTGGCTGCGGAGTGAATGAGCAAGTTCCTTTCGTATGATTTGGAGATTACTTTTGCCAAGCTTTACAAAAGAAAAATAAGCGCTGTTTACCGTAGGATAAGCCTTTGTTTTTTTTCTGGGATCTTCACTTTGCTCACCCTTGGTAAGACTTGTAAACTCTGGGAAACTTACGAATTGGTGTAGCTGGGCTACATTTGGCTGTATCAGATTAGCAAGAGTTCACAGTCCTTCACAACCCAAGCAGGCTTCGTACAGTGAAGTTTTGTAGCTTCACAAGAGTCTGCACGTCTCCATGATGACGAAAGTTAGCAGAATGCCCCACCTCCCCCCTGTCTAGCGGAGTCGCCTCGTATTTTGTTTAACCGCGCTGTTTCAGATCGAGGATTCCCATACACAGCGCTCATACATTTCGACCGGATTCGACTTCTATCGGCAACAGTACTCTAAGCCGAATATCAGATGGATTAATTTGTATCGTAATGCCAATATGATCTCCTATAATCCGTATGATAAGCGAATCTACGTCTATGACCATGGCTACCTGCTCACAGTGCCGGCTCACATACAATGGACGTCGAAATGACACAGAGTTTTTCAGAAATCATATTTATCTTTCTGCTACTTTCATCCTGCCAGCCTATATATGTACTCAGTGAGATCATATTAATAAAGTATATTAAAGGAACAACTATTTAAGACTTTTTTGGACAGTTCAAATCGCACTACGTCTTCGATTGTTGACTTCTTTTGGTTTCACTCGTTTCACTGCATCTCCGTATCCCATTATGTCCTCCTCGCCCCTTCCCTCCGCTTTCCTTTTCCACTCGACACGAAGGCAGTTGCTTTGAGCAAAAACATTCAGGAATTCTTCAAAAATTGGTATGAGTTGGGAAACGTCAGGAGTATGATAGGTAGAATGCTGCATATAAGGGAGGAGGGGTCGTATTCCACAACAGCAGGATGTTCCGTGATCGGAACCACTTTCCTACATCCTTACTGGTGCAGTCCACTCTCGCCGCGTACGCGAAATTAGGGCTATCCACCACACCCTTAGGCCACCTGAGCATTTGTCGGAAAACACTCTTTCGGAAATTACGAACGGACGGGATGTTATCAAAGCGAAAATTGCACCACACACCTGGGTTGCACTCACACCCATTAGAGCGAACGTGAATCATATGGGTGCAGTCGGTGCCTACTATGTGCTCCATTATTTGCCTTGCGGAAATAAAGCAGCTTAATGCTCTATCTGGTACGCCAGTCAAGCTTCCCTGCATCTTGCTCAGAGAGCCGCTCCTTGCGCTACTTGACACACCCAGATATGTTTCTCCTTGGTACCTATGAGAGATCGCTCGAGTATGTGAAGAAACAATTGTTACATTCCCGCCTCGAGCTGGCATGCCGAAAGCCGCGCTCGCGCGATTGGACGAGTTGTTCTGTTCGGCTTGAATTCAACATGTAGTTTTGCTCCAATCGATCAATTGATCCAGCATCGAGAGCTTGCTGGCATACTACGCTCGCGATGCGGCGAGGTGCGCCAGCGAGGAGGAAGAACGTGTTAAGGACAGTCCGTCCAATTCCCCTCCCGTTCCTTTTGCATGCGGCACGAGCGGAGGCTTTTCTCTTGTTTCGCATTTATGCCTGTCAATTGCCGCAGGATTTCAGTCATGACTACGAAATTCTTCGACTGTCATTGCTATTTTTCGTTATACATTGTCTGTTGTCGCCATCTGCGATCTAGAATGATAAGCGGGCGCGACGTCGCATGCGACGCCCACCGGCGCGATGATTGTCCTGCACATACAACGCGGCGACGGCACGGCAAATTACGAATTGTCTTGTCCGTCTGCCTTGTCGCATCAGGCCTACTGGCCGTGGCTACGAAACGAAAGTACAGGTGTAGGATTTTGTACAACTGGCTCAACAGAATTCCGTGACCTCGGACAGGCGCTGCGTGAAATCTTTTCCAAGGAGGGTACCTCTATAACGCCCTATTGAGCAACAACTTTACGTCCCAAACGCCTTCCTTGCCCGCCCGCCCACAAACGGACGACCGTTTCTGACGCTCGTATTCATTCATTTGCTGAGCAAATTATGAAGCAAAGGGATTGGTATGAAGCGGCGTGATGCTGCATGCATACATGGGTACACATATGCAGCCGTATCTTCGGTAGCGGTGATTGGCAAGATGCGTACGGGAAACTCGTCCGAAATCGATTTTACATCACTGGAACGGGGTCTTCTCTCCGCCGGATTTTGACCCGTTTTCAAACTCCGTTTTTCGCTCCAATTCCCACTATATCAGCGCCTCTAACTACAAAATTTTAGCTGAGCAGGAATTATTCGGCGTGCCAACTGCCTTTAAGATTCGTCAAACAGATCATTACGCTTGAAAGTGCTTGACAGTCATGAGTAGTCCTTCGAGGCGGATGGTTCAATCAGCAATAGTAAAGCAATTCCTGGGCATTTTCTTTCATAATATTGAAGCGATGGGCTGCGATGGCGGCAGTTGACGACGGGGGGAGGGCATTTTGCAACTTTCCTGCATCACTTCCACATTGACCGCTTTACAAAAAGTGTAACCTTGCTGGATCGTCGGAGCAAACCTCCTCCGCGGTAAAACCTGTCAACTCACGAAAAGGCTCTGTAGATGGGTCGACACGTTATGAGAAGTAGCAAGTGCGAACTTCCCATTCCCTCCCCCCCCCCCATCCCATCGCTTGTCGCGGCTGCGTGGAATTCCAAAAATTCCCTATAGCTTATCAGTCTGACAAGAACTTATCGATTATCTTCAAGCATTTCTTTTGAACTTTAATTTATTTGAACACATAAACGGCCGTATCAGCGAATTTTGGTGCCAAGTGTTAGTTCTGAAATCGTCCTGCCGCCGCTTATCAACTGATATGGTCTGTCTCTGTCATCACTCGGCATTCGATGAAATTTCGTATTTTCATTTTTCTTCTTCTTATTCCATCTGTCTGGTTGTCGTCAGATGACCTGCTCGCAGAAGTTATCGAAAACATTTTGAAAACAATAAGAGCCGGCCGTTATCGGAATCCCGAACCAAAAGCCGTCGGCAGCGATTGGTTTGCTATCGAAGTCGATGCCGCTGATCGACACCTGGTGGAGAGCATCGCTCGGTCGGCTGGATTTGCTATCGAAGGAAGGGTAAGTGCTAGAGCCATCTTTATGGACCTGTTCTTTCTGAGGTAATCCGAGTAGTATGAATGAATCTCGCTAAATGAAAAAATCCAAACCATGACTGAACATGAATTTTTCCCTGTCACGAATGGCTACCCAGGCCAGAACATATGTGAACTCTCAGCTGCTCCATTTTCTTAACCCTTGTAAAGTTCAGAAAGAGTGTCGGCCACATGGGCGAGTGCGCCTTCCCCTTTGACAAGCCGTAGCTTCTGAAATAACAAAGGAGAAGGTCGCGCGAAGAACTCGCAGCGGCCGTAGGAGACTGCGTCCTTATTGTCGGCGTGGAGAGAACGCTTGTCGTTGACTGTTCTTTCTTGAAAAAGGTTGGAACCTATTCTGTGACAGAGAATTCCTGCCTTATTTAGGCTCCGAGGTTTCTGCCAAATATAGTGTAGCTTCTTCTGCCGATAATATCATCACAGAGTCAGAACAGACAATCGGAAACAGGAGTTAGGCGGCTGAGTGTGTTTATGACTGAGCTGCCGTCTT